TCAGAGCGATTGACTATAGACTGAGTTTCTGTATCAAGCAAAGCTCTATTTCCATCAAAAGGAATATAACTTTCTGGGCTTGGGGAAAAGAGCTTTTAACAAACACAAGGCAGCCAGCACATGCAGAAGGACAGGAAGTGCTCTTCGCAACCGCTCCCATCCCCAAGCCCTGAACCACCAAGGTACCTCATTAGGAGACGGAAAAATGCAGAGCATTTCATATCATCAGTTTCCAAAGTTGTAAGGAACCAATTATCCCTCAGAGCTGTCGCTAAAATACAGAGTTCCTCTTGGAAACCCCAATTTTCCTTCCGGGCACAATTCAAAACAGATAGAAGAAAATGAAAAATCAATACTGGAAATGTCAAAGATTTTTTCGGCTAGTGCCTGACAGAAATCCATCTACGCTTCTGTGGATCAAACAGCCTATCTTCTCTGTGTGCAGACACGAGATAAGCACTGTTTTTCCACCTGCTTTCTCTCTGCCCTCACCTCGGGTCATATTCATTATTCTTCACTGAAGAGATTCTTTCTGTGAATCTTTCTTTAAAGCTGCAAAATGAAAACATTTACTTTCAAAAGCAGAGCCACAGAGATGGCTTAAAAAGTGGCGGGTGGTATCGGGTTGGGGGTCCAGGAGGAGACAGACTTCACTGCTGAATGCAGATGGTTGGGCAGCGGCCATCTGGTCAACCTCCACACTGAGGAGCCCAGTGCCCAAGGAGCCCATTCGTCACCTTCCCCAACAACCACGTCCACGGCTTTGGGTCTTATCTGTCCCTGCTGGGTTCTGTCCCTCATTTGTGCCCAGACCCTCCTCCCTCCTCCTTACTGGAGAAATGTACTTTCTGGAGCCCATTCTGACTTTCCCTCTTGAAACTCCACCTGCTAGCTGAATGTGAAGGCTAAGGTCGCCTCGACAAGACTTCCTCCTGGATTTCCCTCCTCCTATGGAGAGCACTTCTTTGCATGGCTTTGGAACCAGGCATTTTCAAGCAGTGCTAGCACGGGGCTTTCCAAACCTGAGTTTCTCTGGAACCACCCTCACCATTTGGCCATGCCCAGGGCCACCTACACTATTATTTTTTCATACTACTGTTCTTAAATCAATCCACCTTTTAAAAATGTAAATATGTTTAAAAGGGAAACTAGAGCATCATTTACCATAAATGGAATGTAACTCAATGATCAACTCAATGCAGACAAATGATGTTACGGAATCCTAATTAGATAGTGTTTCTAGCTGAAGACATGAAGTTTGAGGCCTGCTCCCTCCCCCTTAAACAAGGGAGATCACCAAGCCCTGGTGTGATACTGTGATTTATAATAAGAAATATGCGTTTGGTCTCAGACCGTTCCTGGTACACACTCCTTAATACCCTTGGAATAGAGGGCCAGCCCAGTGGCTTAGCAGTTAAGTGCACGCACTCCGCTACTGGCGGCCCGGGTTCGGATCCCGGGCGCGCACCGACACACCGCTTGTCCGGCCATGCTGAGGCCGCGTCCCACATACAGCAACTAGAAGGATGTGCAACTATGACATACAGCTATCTACCGGGGCTTTGGGGAGAAAAAGGAGGAGGATTGGCACTAGATGTTAGCTCAGAGCCGGTCTTCCTCAGCAAAAAGAGGAGGATTGGCATGGGTGTTAGCTCAGGGCTGATCTTCCTCACAAAAAAAAAAAAAAATACCCTTGGAATGGCCTGTGATGAGAGGGACAGAGGTGTCTTTTATTATGTTAATGAGGTGAGTTTTGGAAAGCACCTAAGAATTGGAGTTGGTTGCCAGTGGAGCCAACAGTGTGCTTAGAGAATTGGAAATTTCAGTCCCCCCTCCTCCCCCCTCACACCCGACCTTGGGGAGAGGAGATGGGAGAGGGGCTGGAGGCTGAGATCAGTCACCAATGGCCAATGATTTGATCAATCTTCCCTGTGTAATGAAGCCTCCATAAAAACCCAAAAAGACAGAGTTTGGAGAGCTTCCAGGTTGGTGAACACATGGAGGCGCTGGGAGAGGGCATGGGAGCTCTGCGCCCTTCCCACACCTTGCCCTATGCATCTCTTCCATCCGGCTGTTCCCGAGTTACATCCTTTTACAATAAACCCATGATCTAGTAAGTAAAATGGTTCTCTGAGTTCTGTGAGCCGCTCTAGCGAATTAATCAAATAAGGAGGGGGTCATGGGAACCTCCAATCTATAGCCAGTTGGTCAGAAGCACAGGTGACAACCTGGACTTGCGATTGGGGTCTGAGGTTGGAGGGGCAGTCTTGCAGGACTGAGCCCTTGACCTGTGGGCTCTGATACTATCTCCAGGTGGATCGTGTCAGAATTGAGTTAAATTGCAGGACACCCAGCTGGTGTTGGAGAATTGCTCCGTGTGGGGAGAAAACCCACACTGGAATTGGATGCAGAATCATACATGAGGAATCATACATGAGGAAGTGTCAAAGAACTAGTGGTGCAACCAAGACTCTCCCCGGCACAATCAGAGGCACTAGAGAAATACCTAAGGAAGGGAAACACTTTCTAAGCACCAGAGCTCATGTTATTTAATGCCACTGCACATGCCACCTAAAATCTCTCACGTACCTGAGGTAAACAATGCCTCCCTCCCTCCCAAGAATGTTTATGGATCATCTACCATATGCCAGGTACTTTCTAGGGACTGGGAAACCAAAACACATTAAAAAGAAAAAGGCTCTGTGCCTACAGGAAACTTAAAACCTACATTTAAATAAAGAGTGTCTAGGATAGCCTTCTCTCCAGTCTGGCTCCTAAACTAGGGAAAAACCCAGATTCAAGCATGAAACCCATGCTCCTACCACACACCCCCAGAAGGAGACTCAGCACTCACCACGCAGTTTCTCTGATGACGCTCTCGATAGAAAATGACACGTGGTGATTAGCTGTTAAGTGCCTGGCATCCTTTGTAAGCAGCCTTAACCAGCCCGAAAACCTCAGGGCTTCCCAGATAAATAAGTCCCCACCCAGACGCCCCTCCCACCCGTCCCAGGGGCAACCCCCAGTGCCAAGAGGAGACTCACATTTCACCCGGATGGAAACCACAGCAAAGCCTGCCTATCTGAAATGTCTCTCCAGGACTGATTGCAAACCACTTCTCTGCAGCTGGATTTAAATATCAAGAGAAGAGCGTGGAAAAGACTGCCCTTTGAGTCAAGGGCGACTGAAAGGATGCACATTTGTGACTAATTATCTCTTTCTTAATCTTTATATTTGTCTCTCCCGACGGGAGCTTTCTTTCAAGCAGCTGTGACATTTGACCTGGCTGAATTCCAGGCCTCTGTGGGGTCTTGCTCTGTCCGGATTTAGAGCGGCTGCTTTCTGCGGAGCATGTGTGTGCGTCTTAAAGGACTGACATTTGTCATTCTTTCTCAGTGCACATAAAAGCTTAAGCTTCCTGAATCTTGGAAAGAAAAAAATGAAAAGGATGCCTGTGTGGTTTTAACCTAAAAACTCTTTAAACTGTCTTAAAAGTATGTTCTCCTTAGATACAGAATAACATCACCAACCTGAAAGCAAGACGATATGTATATTTATGTTACTTTCCCATTAAAAGGAATGGATTACACTTTAGAATAACAAACATGCATCTATAGAAATGTAATGAACACTATTACTCTGTGCTAGGCACTTCACAAATAATCATTTATTTAGTCCTGACAACAGCCCTGTAAGGGTAGGTCCTATTAACCCTGTTTTACAGAACAGGAAACTAAAACAGAGAGGTAAAGCAACTTGCTCTCAAGGTCACACAGCTAGTAAGTGGCTATGCTGGGCACTGAACCCAGGCAGTCTGGCTTTAAGAGCCATGTTCTTAACCAACCCCTTTGCTGCGCCCACACCCATACAATACTCAGCTTGACGTGTGCTACCTCGTGTAAACCACACAGTGACCTACAAGGTACGTCATATTTTTATTCCCATTTTACAGATGGGGAAACCGAGGCACAGAGAGATTAAAGCAGCTTGCCCAAGACCACTCAGCTAATAAGTGAAAAGTGGGCACTCTGACTTCACTCAAACGTCACCCCGTGACTCGCCACACACCTTCCCACACCTCCCGCATGTGCCTTTGGTTGGAGTCAGGAAGGCAGCTCGTGTCAGAAGACTAGAAACCATCCTCTGATTGAGTCTGGAACCTTGAACTCATTAGCCCCACAGTAATGGTGTTTAGGCAGAAGGGATGTCAGATTGTCTGATCCGGTTCCATCTTGAACAGAACAGACCAAGAGGATCAGTGACAAGAAGTAACACGGCTGCAGGGTACTTCTAATTACACCCAATGAGATACCATACGTGGCGGAAGGGAACGTCACCACAGCAGCAGTTCTCAACACGTGGGGTGGGGTCCCCTGGGGGATCCCCCAGACCTTTTCCACATGGTCAAAACTATTTTCTGAATAACACTGAGCTGTTATTTGCCTTCTTCCTTGTATCCTCCAAGAGTGCACCACAGAGTTTTCCCAAGAAGTGCAATATCTCAATAGACTGGCTGTGAAGCAGGTACGAGGATCCGGCTACCTCCTATGAAGCCAGACGGTGCAGAGATTTGCAAACATATAAAACAATGCACTTTTCTAACTATTATTTATTCTGAAAAAGTCGTTTTTCATAAAAATGCTCTTTATGCTAACATGTAATACGTTTATTTTTTAACTGAATTCAGGCATATTTTAAAGTTTCTCAGGTTTAATTTCTAATATGGTGAAGACAGCGATAACCCAATACATGATCATTTTTAAGAGCCTAAAGGGGTCCTGAGACCCACTGCCCGAGACTGTCATCTCTGTGAGGGCATGGGCCACACCCACCTCGCGCTCCCCCGCAGCCACTGCCCGCGGTGCCTGGCACACAGGAGGGCCTCGGTATACATCACCCGGGATGTAGAAGGAATGCCCAGGTGCGCACCACCAACCATCCCTTACAGTACACGCACCCACATGCACAATAATGATGGTGCTCAGACCCACACAGCTTACCTGGAAATAGTCTGTGATGAAGGACCCGAGTTCACTCTTCAGCAGCCGCCTGGGGAGAGAGAAGCACTGTCATGCAGCCCGTGATGGTACAGCTCCTGGCGACCAGTCCACGGCCGTGTGCACTGATGGAGCGCTCCCCCCGGGCTCAGGGACCCGCCAGGCCTACGAAGGGAGTGCACTTTCCTAGGCCCTTTCCACCCCCCGGGGTTATTAGGGAATCGGGGTGATGGAATCTGAGAAAGGGACCCACTCCTTAGTTCACCCCACAAAAACAACCATCTCAAGAGGGCAGCACAGGAGACCCTAATTGTAGCAGAGTTGGTGGAGGCAGGCCAGGGCACAGCGCTCCATGCGAAGCCAAAAAAGCAAGGAAAGGAAAGACCACAATTTTGTAATCCTCCCTATTTGCAGACATAATGGTTTAAAATGCATTTTTCATACATTCTTCAACCAAGGATTGTAATGTATCTGTGTGTGTGTGTGTGTGTGCATGTGTGTGAAGGGGGGTGGGCAGTTATTATCCCTCTTGTACAGATAAAGAAGTTGAGGCTGAGAGAGGTCCCCAAATAAGTTAGTGGTAAAGACTTTAATCCAGCCCTTCTGCAAACTTGACATCTCTCCCATAACTCCAGCCTGTCTCTCCTCCAGACCCATCAGACATTCAAGTGGGTGCCATGGTTTGGGTGGTCTTGCCACTCATCCCCGAGGGGCTGAGGCAGTCCTTCAAAGGGGACCACGATGGGGAGAACAGGTAGGTTTTATTTATCCAGGCAACAGCTGTGAGTTGTTCGTTACGTGCTAGAGATTGTCCTGGCACCAGGCATACAGAGCGAACAAGGCAGACGAGGCCTCTGCCCTCAGCCGGCTTCTGTTCTCAAGGGAGATAGCATGTTGCTAAATACACTCACAAGATAAGTTCAGAGTCTTAAGTGCTAAAAAAACTCAAATAGAAAAGAGAGGTTTTGGCACCAGATCTCCTTCTCCCCGGGACCAACCATGGGACCACCCCTACCGTTCTTTCTTTAATTTGATCCCAACAAGGTGAGAGAACTAAAATCAAGAGTAACTGGCTCCCAGAGCCAATGAATTCCCTAGGGGCACACTCCTCACGACTTCAGATGATGTCATTTACTCATCCCACCAGCCCTGGTTATTAAGGAGCAAACGCTCAAGCTCCGGACGACACCTGCTGGGTGTTCACTCCCCCAAAGGCGTCCCCACAGGTCACTGCAGGATAAACAGGAAGTGACAGGGAGATGTCATTGTGTGCAGAACACGGACACGACAGGATTGAGACAGGAGAGACATCGTGATCGAAATTTCTATGCCAGAAGAGCCCTGGAAAGCTGCAAACAGGTGTTGAGCAAGGAAAATACCTTCCTTTTCCCATGACAGAAACTCTGTCTGTGGTGGATACTGCATTTTGAGATGCAACTTAATGGGAGGCTCCTGGAAGGCCACCCCAACCACCAGCCTGAGGGTTGCCCGAGATGTGGGCAGGTCTGACAGAGACAGGGAAGCCTTCACCAGCCACTGGGCCAGGAGCAGATCGGTCATCGCTGCTCTGCAGGGCCAGCGGCATCTCTCAGACAGGAAACAGAAACGCAGTGGGCAGCCCCAGAGGGAGGCTTCGAAACAGGAAGAGGCAGGGAGGCTGCTTCTGACTGCTAGAGGGAGAAACATCTCCCCACCAAGTCTTCACAGCCATTGGGAGGCCTCACAACCATAGGTGCAGAAGCCAACCTTCATCAAAAAATAGAAAAACAAGTCCTAGTAATGGGCTATTTCGAACAGAGTTTCCCAAGCATATCTTGGGTACTCACCAAGTTGAGGGACTAACATGGTTCTGAGACCAAATAACATGCTATGGAACAGGTGCCCCCAAGGAACCCACACTGAGAAACCACTGTGCTCATGAAGATGCTTCAGGTAAAACAGAGATAGAGGTCGGGGTAAGGATATGCCTGCAAAGTCAAGAACTATGGAAATCCTCCTGGAGCAAGGTGGAGGAGGGATCGACCCAAGTGTAAAATCATTCATTGGGGCTGGCCGTGATTAAACAGGTGATTACTGCCCACTGGCATTTCACAGGGGTACTCGGGAGCGTCATGATGTCAGCCCACTGAGGAATCCAAGGGGTCTCCTCCCCAGCCTGCCAGGGAGGGCAGAAAGGCTGCAGCTCACAGTGAAGGGGAAGGCACGGCATCCTTATGTCACAGCCAGGGCCGGTGAGCCACGGCCAACGGCAGAATTCTGCAGAGCGTTCCAGGAAGACAAAGCCTGGGGTAGCAACCAGCTAACAAAGGAGCAGGGGCTACGAGTGAACCTGGCGCAACAGAAAAGACAAGGGCGTAGCAGAAAGGACTCTGAAGCTAGAAGCAGCCATGAAGGGGCGCCGAGATGGTGATGCACGAGAATAAAGCAGCAGAACAGGGACAGATGCTTCCAGCGCCTGGATAAGGGTGATCCTCGGTCCTTTACTGAGGAGGGGCCAGACACAGGGGTGGGAATCTGCTTTGTATACTTTAAACGTAATGGACTCTAACCAGGGATGGTAAAAGAACCACACATTTTTCCTTCTATCAAATCCCAAGTTCAAAATCCTCTCCACCAGGTAGTGTTACACAGATTTATCGGAAGGGAATAGACTCCACCTGATCAATTACGTCAACATTCTATTGTCCTGGGCTGGCAATTCAGTAAGCCGCTCTGTCCCTTACAAAATCCCATCGCATTTCTGCCTGAGCATGTTAGGAGTTAGACAAGGTCACTGCACATACGTGCAGAGTTTCCTCTGCAGCAAAATATAGGAATGAACATAAATGTGCAGCAATAAAGTGCTCATAAAAAAATCGTAATTCCATCCATACAATGGAATTCTATGCAGCTGTAAAAAAACAAAATGAAGATCTTAGTGCTCTAAGTAATGATATGAAAAGATCTAAATTACATTAAGAAAAAGCAAGATGCAGAACAGTGTGTATAATATGCTACCTTGTGAAAAGCGAAGAAGAAAAGAATACATACCTTTATTTACACATTACCAACAAATTTATTTATCAAATCTGCTCTAACTTGCTGTTCTGTAATAGTGATATGATTTGGTTTCCAGTAATGCCCTTTGAAATAGAATATATAGTACCTTGACTTTTAAACACACAAAACACACATGCATTTTTAAAACGATATACAAATGCCCTGGGTTTTGTCTCCTCCTCTCCCTCTCCCCAAGTAAGAGGCCGGAGAAGGGTGAAGCTGGAAATTAAGTACGACAACAAAACACGCTAGCAAACCTGATTCCCTGGAGTTAGGACACAATGTCCTGAGGCCACACCATGTCGTCAGACCCCAGTCTGTGGAGCTCACATACATTGTCGAGTATGCCTAGCTACTTCTCCATAAATATTCCTTATATATGCATAAAGATGCTCTGGAAGAACAGCCAATTAACTACTGTTTTAAATAGTTATCTTTGGTGGGGGATGGGAACTGGGTTTCTAGGGTACAGGGGAGGGAGATGCTTCACTGTATATCTCATTATATATTTAAAATTTTTGTACCCTGTGAATGCAATCTGATTCAAAAACACTAAAAACAATTTTTTTAATTAACAATAACCACCACCAAGGTTACCACCAGCTGCCTTGAAGCGGAGAAGGAATTGTGGCAGTGAGTTCCCATCAAGGGCACAGGATCAGGAAGCAGACTGTCGTAGGGGTATCAGAGGATCCCACAGAGTCTGAGACCCTGCCAACCCAAACCCACATTGGGCTGGTAACCTGAGAACTGAACCGGAGAGAGCGAGTGAGGGAAAAGCAAAGCTGGCCGAGCCAACCAGAGAGGAGACCGCGGCTGAGTCATATTGCAAAACCTACAGTCTATTCCTATACTCTGTGTTTATTCTGCTTGCACTGGTTTATGAGGAAAGGGTTCTTCTGAAAAACTTACCCTGACCTTAGCTGAACCAAGAGAAAGAGGGATTTTCCACCCCTGTCTTGTTGTACCATCTCCAGGGGAACTGGGCAGTAGATTCCCTCCAAAAAAGGAAAGAGCGACTGACAGAGAATAGGGACCACGAGTTAATTCATGGACACACACCATATATTGCAAACCTCCCGAGTTGGACATGGTGCTGGATGCCAGCAGGAAAGCATGCACCAGAGTACGGACGGTAATCTGCTCCCAGCAGGGCCACTAGCTCATGAGGCCCAGGAGCATCACCTTCTCCAAAGTTTCAGAGTGAAAGAATCAAGGTATTAGAGACACGCAGACCTAAATTCACAGAGGGACAGCTCAGCTGTAACCTTCCTCAGTTTGCCAGTTTAGCTTGAAAAGCAGGAGAAAGACAACAGAATTGAAGAGCCTGTGGTCTGTGGTTCCCTAGACACAAATGAAAGATGAAAATCCTGATTCCCAACATGATTCCCAACAATGAGGATGCAGATTCCTCCCAGGCACAGAGGCCTAGAACCCGGCAGCCTGCCTTCCACTTTTTCTACCCTTTCCTAGGGTTTCTTCCCCGGAAACAGCAAAGTAATTACTCATTGGAGCAAAAAAAAAGGAAGAAAAACAAATTCCTCCTAGGACAGAGCCTGACTTTTTTTTCTCCAAAGTTTACTGAACACTTGCTAAGTGCCAGAAACCACTGTCAACAATGTATTTCCTCATTTAAGCCTAAAACAAAACTATAAGGAAGTAGTAATATCTCCACTTTTTATACACAAGGAAATGGACTCCCTCCGAGGTCACCAAGGAGGGTGCGCGGCAAGCACAGGTCAGAGACGAGAGGAGTCTCACGGAGTGTGAGGGTTTGGAGGCAGCTGCCGGGCTCTGAAGCCTGACTGAGCAGCGTAGCAGCTGCTGTGAGCCATCACCCTTGCAAGGTAACTTCACAGGTTAGTCCCTGTACCCATTTCCTCTCCTGGAATTTGGGGATAATAAGGACACCTACTCCACTCCACAGGATTATTACAAGGCTAAACGAGTTAATCCTGGGCCGGTTCGTCCCTAGAACAGTGCCTGGCACATGGCAAGGCTCGGCAAGTGCCA